AGAGCCCGACGCGGGGCTCGAACCCACAGACTGTGAGATCGTGATGTGAACCAGCATCAAGAGTCTGACACCTGCCTGACTGAGAGCCCCTTGATGGCTGTTTTCATTAGGCATGAATGTACTTTGATGTGCATATAAATATAACCCAAAAATCTATAAAGAGAAAAGCAAAATTTCTCTTTTTGAGAGACTATACTTGCTTTATTATCTATTGATGTCACATTTAAAAAAAATTTTTTTAACGTTTGTTTATTTTTTGAGAGAGAGGGTGAGACAGAGTGTGAGTGGGGGAGGGCCAGAGAGAGGGAGACACAGAATCAGAAGCAGGCTCCAGGCTCCGAGCTGTCAGCACAGAGCCCGATGCGGGGCTCGAACTCATGGACCACGAGATCATGACCTGAGCTAAAGTCGGATGCCCAACCGACTGAGCCACCCAGGCGCCCCATATTGACGTCATATTTTGTCGGGATAAGGTAAGGAAGATTGTAAATAAATTGGCATTTTCTGTGCATATTTTGCTTGCTTTTATAGTCAAAATATAGTAATTACATAATAATATATTATTATTACAGGTAATCTACAGACATTTAAATTTTCAAAATCCTATTAGGATCCCCTTTTCTCATATTTAAAAGCAAAATACATTTTGCTCAGTTCTACTGAGGAGGAATTTTAGGTGTTCTATTCTTCTCTTTAATGAAAATGTAATATTCTTTTTCAGCTGATTGATGGTAGAGACAGATTACTATGTGAGCTTGATTATGAAAAATCAGTAGTTCAAGAAATGGTAAGGTGATTTACATTATTTCCTAATAAAGTTGAAATCAGGAATTTCATTTAATCATGAAAGTTTTCTTTGTAACCATTTACTGTAAACGATTATTTCACCTTCGTGAATAATCTGAATGCATGCATAAGTATAAACTTTTTTACTGAAGTCTTATAGTAGTGTTTTTTATAAAACTGAAGTTTTATAGTAGTGAAGTTTTTACACAGTGTTATAGTGTATCAGCTATCGTGACCTGACAAATCTATACGTTAAGCTACGCGCACTACAATAAATGGAGTCACCCCACAACGTCATTACGATATTATTGACTATATTCCCCATGCTGTATTTTTCAACCCCGTGACTTCTTTATTTCATAACGGGAAGTTTGTACCTCTTAATCCCCTTCCCCTGTCTCTAGCAACATTTTCGAATGATCGTCTTAAGAAAACAGTTTGATTAGTATGCGAATAAATGCGATACGCTGTCATGTTGAAATAGTGTCACCCTTTAAAGCACTGTACAAAATTTTTGAGGATTTTTTATGGAGATTTGAAAAAAAAAACGCAAATATGAGAGCCCAATATTTTGAAGGATTTGCTACTTTTCGTTACAAATTGCCATAACTGACCACAATAAAGAGCCCAGCTAGATATTTTGGCATTCTGTGTTGGTCTCGTAAGAAAACACTGCCTTTTTATGTTCTTTTAAGAGAACTTTCCAGACGGCTGCTCTTTTATTTTATCTGTTGACTACCCACCCCCTAGGCCCCCGCCACCTCACCCCTCCCCACCCCCGCCAGCTTATGGTGTTGTAATTCGGCTTTCAACTGGTCACCACTAGTATGTCTTTGTTACAGTAAACTGCCTGTGTTTATTATAATCAAAAATAAAACACAGCTTGACTTGCGTTCTAAATGTGCCTGAAAAGAATATGATACTGTTTAGAGGAGAAAAGGTTGTTCATAGGAAGTCAACACCACTTCAGATATTGAAACATTCCCTTTTTTACAGCTCGTCACACTTAGTGCCAAGTCATGACTGTTTCCCTAACTCTGTTTTGTTGCTCTCAGCACCATGTGTTTTGGGTTCCTTGTCATAGAAATTAATGCCAAACAATGCTCCGGGGCTACAATAAAGCCTTCTATGAAACCAACTTGGGAATGCAGGCGAGGACAAAATGATGGTTAGCTCTTCACAGAAACCGTGGGCTAACAAATACGTTGTTTTGAACCCTCTGCTTTTCGATACCTGGCCTATAAAAATCGTCTCCGTTATTTGAGGTTACTTCGTTGATTCCCTCTCTCCCCTCCCCCTCTCCTGTCATTCCTCCAAAAGTCTAGGAGTTGCTTCTGAAAACAAACTCAATGTGCGCATTGTCACGAAAAGCGACAGTGTTTCTATAGAATGGGGGCCAAATGTTACATCGTCAGTCTGTTTGTGGCGTCAGAAATCAGACTTCATCGTAAAAAAGCGAGTTTGGGCCAATACTATGAACAGAACCCATAGGTTTCCTTTGTCTCTTTATTTAAGCCTTAAGCAGTTAACTGGTGCTCTTACGGTGCCCGCAGAGGAGCCAATCACGTCTTATTTTGTTGTTGAGAAGTTTTTTGAGCACCAGGCTTCTTGCCAAGCAGCAAGATCTTGCATCACAAACCCGGCCGGGCACAAGAGCCTCCGGAAGGCTCAGAACTAGCTTGGGGGTTTGTGTTTTCAGTAGAGGGAGTCTGCTCAAGGTTCTTCTTATGTCCAAGGTTTCCATGGTGTACTTTTGGGCTCAGCAAGGTCACTGGCGCCCCTTCCCTCCCACCAGAGCATTCCGTTACTAACTCAGAGGGAGGTTGGCTTTGTGGCTAGTGGGCTTCCTTTGTTTCTTCCCACGGGACTTTTTTCCAGAAATGAAGATTTCTGGATTGATGATTGCACCTAGATGGGGAAGTGGGAGAAGGTGGAGTTGATGCTGAGTCGTTTTGTAGAAATTAAAAAACTTCCTCACTGAAGGGTTTTTGTTCCATGCTTGTCTATTACTGTCCTCCAACGCAGTTTATTTTCTGGCCTCTTAAGAGCCTAGTTTAAAAAGTCAAAGAGTTGGGGCGCCTGGGTGGCTCAGTCGGTTGAGCCTCTGACTTCGGCTCAGGTCATGATCTCGCGGTCCGTGAGTTCGAGCCCCGCGTCGGGCTCTGTGCCGACAGCTCAGCTCAGAGCCTGGAGCCTGCTTCGGATTCTGTGTCTCCCTCTCTCTCTGACCCTCCCCCGTTCATGCTCTGTCTATCTCTGTCTCAAAAATAAATAAACATTAAAAAAAAAGAGTCAAAGAGCTACAAGTAAAAAGGCACCTTCAGTAAGGGTATGTAAGCAATGCGATATGGGGCAATGGTGTCCTTAGATTGGCTTGAGGGGAAGCATATGAAATAATTTGGTATCTTCCTGTGATTCTTACACTTAGTGGCTTTCACTTATCTTTTTTTTTTTAATTGAGCTATAACTGCCACCTAACATTGTATTCACTTTTGGTGTACAACAAAATGATTTGATATATATGTGTATATTGTAAAATGAAAAATGATCACCACTGTAAGTCTAGTGAATACCCATCACCAAACCTAATTACAAAATTTTTTGCTTGTGATAAAAACTTTTAAGATCGGCTCTCTTAGCAGTTTTCGGATATACAATACAGTATTGCTAAGTATAGTCACCATGTTGTATATTATATTCCCAGGACATTTGTTAAAACTAGGAGTTTGTATATTTTGATCACCTTCACCCATTTCGCCCACCGCCCTTCACCCCCCAACCCCCCCCTCTGGCAACCACCAATCTGTTTCTCTAAGTTCAGTTTTTAGATTCCACATATAAGGTGTTTCTCTTCCTGTGACTTATTTCACGTACCGTAATGCCCTCAAGGTCCATCCATGATGTTGCAAATGGTGGGATCTCCTTTTTTATGGCTGAATAGTATTCCGTTATACATATATGCCACGTTCTCTTTACCCATTCATCTGTAATGGACTCTTAGGTTGTTTCCACTTGTTGGCTATTGTGAATATGAACATGGGTTGCAGATATCTTTTTGAGATAAGTGATGTTGCTTCCTTCAGATAAATACTCAGAAGTAGATTTGCTGGGTCATATGGTAATTCTATTTTTAATTTTTTTGAGGACACTCCGTTCTGTTTTCCAGAGTCACTGCACCAATATACATCCCCACCCGCAGGGCACACGTGTTCCCTTTTCCCCACTTTTTTGTCAACACTTGTTATCTCTAGTGATAGCCATTCTATCAGGTATAAGGCGATATCTCATTGTGTTTTGATATGCATTTTCCTGATGATTGAGGATGTTGACCACCTTTAAAGGTACCTCTTGGCTATTTGAATATCTTCTCTGGAAAATGTATACTTAGATCGTCTGCCCATTTTCAATTGGGTTATTTAGGTTTGTTGGGTTCTTTTGTTTGTTTTGTTGCTATGGAGTTGTATGAGATCTTTATATATTTTGAATATTAATTCCTTATCAGATATATGATCTCCAAATATTTTCTACCATTCCATAAGTTGTCTTTTTATTTTGTTGATTGTTTTGCTGTGCTGAAGTTTTTAATGTGGTGTAATCTCACTTGTTTGTTTTTTATTCTGATACTTGTGCGTTAAGCGTCATATCCTAAAAAATCATTGCCAAGACCTATGTCAAGAAGCTTTTCCCCTGTGTTTTCCTTGAGGAGTGTTATGGCTTCAGGCCTTACATTTAAGTCTGTAATTTATTTTGAGTTAATTTTTCTGAGTAGTGTAAGATAGGGGTCTAGTTTCATTCTTTGACATGTGAATGTATGATTTTCCCAGAACCATTTATTGAAAAGACTGTCTTTTCTTTTTCTCTTTCCTTTTCTTTTTTCTTCTCTCTTTAGAGAGAGAGGGTGAGCGAGAGAGAGAAGCATGTGCAAGTAGGGGTGAGGGGCGGAGGGCTGGGGGGGGGGAAGAATCTTAAGCAGACTCCACCCTCAGCCCAGAATCTGATGTGGGGCTCAATCTCAGGAAATTGGGACCATTACCTGAGCCAAAATCAAGAGTTGGATGCTGAACTGACTGAGCCACCCAGGCACCTCTATATTTTCTTTATTGAGCATTCTTGGCTCCTTTGTCAAATATTAGTTGATTATTTATTCGTGGGTTTGTTTTGGACTCTCGATTCCATTTCATTTGGTCTGTCTGTTTTTATGCTGGTGCCATACTGTTTTGATTACTATAGCTTTGTGATATAGTTTGAAATCACCAAGTGTGATGCCTCCAGATTTATTTTTCTTTCTCAGGATTGCTTTGGCTTTGGGGGGTCTTTTGTGGTTCCATATAAGTTTTAGGATGGTTTTTTTCTACCTCTGCAAAAAGCACAGTCTGTGAAAAGTGGAATCTTAATAGGGGATTGCATTGGCTTTGAGTAGCATAGACCTTTTAACAATATTAATTCTTCCAGTCCATGAACACGAGATATCTTTTCATTTACTTGTATCTTCTTCAATTTCTTTCATCAGTGTCTTTAGTCTTCAGTGTACAGATCTTTCACCTCCTTGGTTTAATTTATTCTTAAATGTTTTCATTCTTTTAATTCTATAGTAAATGGGATCATTTTCTTTAAGATAATTTGCTGTTTGCGTATAGAAAATGCTACTGATTTTTGTATGTAGGTTTTGTATCCTGCACTTTCATATATCTTGAAGCTAACAACAACAAAAAAGGAGTGTTCTCATCAGGACAGTACTAGCACTGGACTCTTAATTTCAGTTAATTTTCCATCTGCTTCATCCCAGTGTACCTGGCTCCTAGGGACAATCCAGACTTAAGATGGAAAGGAGTTATAAAGGTTGCTCTGGCTCCTCATTCTGGGGGCACAGCCCTGAGTCATTGCTGCAGTTGGACTTGATCCTGTGACTGGGTTCCCTGTTGTCTGAGTTCCCTCTGAGTCATGCCTTGGGTGCGTCTGGTCCTATTCCAGGGAATGTGGCAGTGTTTGGCCATTCAATGA